GAAACATTGCTTTGCAAGCGTATGCTGGGCCGTGGGAGCCGCAGGAGCCGTGGCAGCCCTCTGCCTGTCCTCTACAGCTTGCACCGGCAGCTGATGCCCGGAGACATTGCTTTGCAAGAGTATGCTCTCCTGCCCGAGATGAAGCAGCTCGTTACCGGGAGTGGAGCCAAGCTGCATCATCCATTCCCGAGGCTCGTATGCACCAGATGCTGCGTCACATTGACGTTGGGGACGTGCATACATTTAAATGGGTGCTTGCCTCGTTTTCAGCTTCGGTTCAAGCCAAATTGCAGCAAGTGCATCAGGTTCCGTGTGAAGCAGCTTCACATCATCGCAAGTGTTTGCCTGTCAAGCACACTGCCTGTCTTGCAGCTGACTTGCTTGGTCGCAAATTCATGACCTGCGCCGGTGTTCAAGGCTCCAAGATACTTGGCAAGATTCGCGCCTTGCTGGAGCAGATTTTACTTGCAATTTTGGGCAGAGAGAAGGAGCATGTAAACATTGACTTCCACGGTCAACTGCTCGACTTTCAAGCCGTCGTGACAGGGTCAGCCTATCAGTTGCCCACTTTGGATGCAGATCCGTATCTCGCCCATGTCGATTTGCAGCTTGAGGAGGATACCATGATTGCGACTGAGGGTGCAGGATTTATGCTCACAGCAGATGATCCGCAGTAAGCCTGTCCAGCTTGCCCCGACCCCGGCTATTTTTATCACTGAGCCACGTGCAACCACGTCACCACCATCGTCTTCCTTCACCACAACGGAGTTTCAAGCTGCGGTCTACGCTGAAGTGGCGACACAGCAGACACAAGCACTTACTGTGGACTCAAGGCTATGGCGGTGAGCCCTGGGGCTAGCTTCCTATCTCCGTGCCTGCTCCGGCTGTGACAAGCTATGCCAATTGCCATGCTGGGACAGTTCTTGATCATGGTAGTCAGGGTGTGGCAGGTCATGTCTATTTTCTCCGTGACGATGGGCGCAGAGGTGAAGCCTAATCATGGCTTTGGTTTGAACTGGGTGGTTTGGATGCTGCACTTCCTGGCTGCTTTACTGTCACGAGTGTTGGAGCTGGGTGGAGGAGTCATGGAACACTTCCATGTTGTTGTACCGAACTTGGCGGTGACCCTCGCGATTTGGGCTTTTGGGGTTTTCCTTATTTCGGAATCCTACGCCACGTTTGTTCAAAAAATTTGCTATGCAGTTGAGACTCAAGGATGCACACCTTGAACACGAGGCTGAAGGCGGGAAAAATCTTAGAAATCCGCAACCTTCCGATGACAGCGACTTTGGATCGTTACTTAGCGCCTCAGTCGAGCTTCGCACCATGCTGTTTGTTGGGACTGCTGCATTGGCGGTGACAGAGCCACTGTTTGCAGCGGTCATGATTGGATCTTCTGGATTTGCGGCCTTGTTTAGAGTCTAAACCTGTCGAAAAAGAAAGTCGTCTCTTGTCGATTTGTCGCGATGCTGAGACTTTTGCGAATGAGCTGATTGAGAAGGCACTTGCTCATCCTGCTGAGTTTGTGCGCGTTTTCAACGACATCCGCTTTCGGTTCTTGTGTCAGAGCTTCAACCAAACATTGCGCGGTATCTTGGTTGGGAAACTGAGTGTTGGAATTAAGATACTTGAAGTATTTTGTGGTGAGATTACAGTGAAGGCCTGCGTGGGCGTGGGTTTGGTTTTTGACAGATTCCAGGAGCTGGTTGTGCGCAGCCATTTGAATGCGGCTTTCCATTCCCTTGTTCCTGATGCTGAGCATTTGAGTTGTGCTGAGTTTGTCGGACACGGGCTTGCAGTGCCCGCGGTGTTTGGGGCAACAACTGTCTCCTGGGGCCTTTTTAAGGCAATTCTCGAGAGCTGGGCTACTTGGGAAATTGTATTTGCAGTGGAAAAAACCCTTAACCCAAACCCCTAAACGCCAAACCCTAAACCCTAAACCTGGTGCCAGAGGCTGTGCTGGTTCAAGAGCGCGCGGAATGGGAGGGAAACCGGTCGGTCTGTTTCGATGCGTTGTAGCATTTAGCGGTTCAGGTTTTAGGGTGTAGGGGTTTAGGGTTTAGGGAAAGCTTGCCGGACTGGGAGAAGCAGAAGGCGGTCAAGATCCCGTCCCAGTTCAGCCCCGTGATGTGTGGAGATCAGTGCCCTCAGTGTGAAGACTTGGCTTTTCGCACTTTCGATGCGGCAGCACTTCTTCCAAATCGCTGCCCGCGAATTCACATCCTTATAACCCTTCGAAACCCTAGACGCAATGCTCAATGCTAAACCTTTAAGTCCTACGCCCTAAACTCTTCACCCCAAATCCTAAATTCTAAACCCATATCTTTAGACCCTGAGCCTTTCGACCCTAACAAGCTTCGTCCGCAGGGCTCCGCCCTGCGGCTGGCCGTGTTCACGCGGCGAGTGGTTGAACACCTGGGGGCTGAGGTGGGCTTAAGGTTTAGGGTTTAGGGTTTAGTTAATAAGGAAATGTCCTGGGTAGCATAAGGGAAGCCCCTTAAAAAGAGGACCCTTCTTCACCTTACTTCTGGCTCTCTAAGAGAAGACTTTATTGAGAGGGTCGTTATCCCCAAGCGTGCCCCTAACTCTAACTCCTAAAATGTTTACTTCGACAAATAATTACAAAGGAGCTAAGGTATGCGCATACATTTTTATACGTGCATAGAAAATCTATACTTAATGATTTTATATGCACTTGCGCAATAAACATACACAAAAACATCACCATACACATACACATGCACATACCCATACAGACATATACATATACCTAATTTACACACGTATACCTATATACATACAGATACAAGTACAAATCTTTGTACAGAGACTCAGAATGCATATACTTGCACATATACATATACATATACATATACATATACATATACATATACATATACATATACATATACATGAAAATCTACGGCCACAGATGCATGTGCATGTGCACAAACAGCTGCACCGATGCACACACACACACACACACGTATGTAAGTATACCAACATATAGAGTTTATATGTGTATGGACGGATTTGTGTACATATATAGAACATAAATACATGCACTATTTACTTATGCTTCTACTTTTGTTTTAGTCTTTGTTTGTACATACACAGGTTGCGCATCGATGGGTTTGTACAGGTTGGTCTGGAGGTTTGGGGTGCGAACGTTTTGGTATGGGGAGGCGGGTATCCCTTTTCAGAAGGAATCATCGTAACAATGTAGGTTTCTTCGGTGCCTGAATCTGAGACCCTAACCCTCAAGCCCTAAACCCTAAACCCGGGTAGGGTTCAGGGTTTAAGGTTTGCGGTTTGGGGAGGTGAACGACGACGCAGCGCTGGTCGCCTTCGCGGAAGAGTTCCTCGCAGAGTCTGGCAGGAGCACAGTCTGGGGTACTTGGAACCTCGACCCCAAACCCTAGACCCTAAACCCTAAACCCTAGACCATAATCCCTGAATTGTAAACCCTAAACCCTAAACCCTGAACCCTAAGCCCTCAACCATAGATAAACCCTATAGGGCTTCGGCTTAGGGTTTAGGGTTCCGGGTTTCGGGTCTGGTGGGGACTTTGTTTATATATTCGACGGCTTCTGGAAGGATTTTTTGGATAGAGGTTTGGGGTATATGGTCTGGGGTTACTGTTGTGGTAGTGCATGAAGGTTGCAACTATGAGGGCGTTATGGCGCTTTTAGATTTTTCGAGAGCTCAACAAGTTTTGTTAAAATGGGTTTTACGAGGCTGTTGCAAGGGTTAGAAGAGGGTGTTACATGGCTTTTGAGGGGATGTCGAAGGGTTTTATGATATAGGCTCTGTAGGACTTGAAAAAGCTCCCGGGAGCTCACAACCCATGAAGTTGAGGATCACCCCTGCACATTCTTCCGGGCGGCAGACCCCGCTTCAAAGTACGACGTCGATTGCATTCTTATACAATTATAGTTACCCTACTTATACCCCTACTTATAACTACCCATGAATCTCCAAAAAATACCCCTTATAGACCCCTTATGTAAACCCTGCGAGAGGATAGCTTCCCAGAGCCCTAAACCCTAAACCCTAAACCCTAAACCCCTTATATAATGCCTGCGAGAGGATAGCGAAGCAGGAAGCTGGGAGCAGGTTGAACACGATTCATGTTGCGGCGAAGAATCTTATGTTTAGGGTTTAGGGTTTAGGGTTTAGGGTTATGTCGGAGCCGTATGCTGGATCGGCAACTCTACTTCTATACATACTTCGACAGTGCCGTTGCGACTGCTGCAGAAGCTGGTGCTCACACAGAATTCAGATCTTGCATCCGAAGGCTGATCGACTTTTTATGCTGTCTTAAGTGTTTTGGGCTCCGTGGTTTCCGTAGGTCCACACCGGGATTCATCTTGGATTCAGTTTTGGGGCATTGGGGTCTACCTTGGCAAGCCAATCGTTATATGGAACCCTACAAACGGTTTAGGGTTTAGGTTGGGTACTGCCCCCACTCAGTAACAGTTGGATAATATTTATATTATGGATATATTAGGCCCTTAATAATAGCCCTATTATAGACTGTTACTGTATGGGGGCAGTACCCAAGGTTTAGGGTTTAGGGTCCAGGTACGGTTTGGGGATAGCGTGACTTCGCCTGACTGCCTGGCCGCTGGTGTGAGAGCGGCAGTTGGTTCACGGGGGCATGGCAATCTTCGCATAAACCATAACCCCTAAACCCTAAACCCTAAACCCTAAACCCTAAACCCTAAACCCTAAACCCTAAACCCTAAACCCTAAAACCCTAAAGCCCTAAGCCCTATAAATCCTAAACCCTCAATCTAAATTGAACCAGGCCTAAACCCTGAACCCCAAAGCGAAGCCCGAAGTGGTAGATACGCCTTGCATGTGTGTTGTCGTAGAGCGTGGTGCGGCATCAAGCACATGCTCTCCATTTAGGGTTTAGGGTTTAGGGTTTAGGGTTTAGGGTTTAGGGTTTAGGGTTTAGATCTTCCACCATATATTCCAGCTCATTCATATAGGGGCCTGAATAATTGCCTGGATCATAAGTATGGGGGCCTGAATAGTTGCTTATTTTGGGGTGTCATTAATATCGGGGCCTGAATAATTACCTATACTATTCTGGGGGTTCCTTATGTTGACTATACTAGAATATACCCCACAACCCTGTTCTAAATCTGAACGACCCTACATTAAAACTACTCCCTGTAAGGCATAGGATTCATCGAAACTGCCCTAAACCCTAAACCCTAAACCCTAAACCCTAAACCCTAAACCCTAAACCCTAAACCCCGAGGGCTGTCTGCAAGGCAAATCTCCAGGCCTAGATTAAACTCACAAGGAGGCCAGGCTCTGGGGTCTAGGGTGTAAGGGGGTTTCGCGTTTAGGGTTTAGGGTTTAGGGTTTAGGGGTGTAGGGTTTAGGGGGTTTTGGGGGTTTTGGGTTTAGGGTTTAGGGTTGACGGTTCCGGGTTTAGGGGGTTTAAGGGGTTTGGGGTTTAGGGTTTAGAGGTTTAGGGTTCAAACTAGCTTCAAATGTGAGGGGAATTGCTTCACCCCCGGAACCCTCCCGACCTACTTAAAGGCTCAGGAGGGACGTCGTAAGTAGGTCAGTCATGAACGGAGTATCGAGCAGCTTCAACATAGTTATATGGGGAGTATAAGGGGGCTTTACCGCTAACTAATCCAGATTAAGCCCCAAGCCGGGATAGTCGTCCTTTTTTGGGAGTCCCTTTACGCTTCGACACCCCAGCCCTATTCCATTTTAGGGTTTAGAGTTCAGGGTTTGTTCAGGGTGCATAAGCAAACTTTGCACACCCTTCATTACTGATTGTAATTACCTATAAAGGCGCTAGAGTTGAGAGACCGAAGAAGTACAGGACGTTTAGCAACCTCGTCGTGGCCATTTCCTACAAGCCCGCCAGGGGCTCGGAATGCCCCAATGGTGGGGTGGTGGTGTGTTGACTTGGTCAGGAGGGCGCACAGATAGGGTTTAGGGATAGGGTTTAGGGTTTAGGGTTTAGGGTTTAGGGTTCTAGGGCTTCGAGTTTTACGGTGAGGGGGGCAGGGTTTGAGGCTCAAGGTTTACGTTGTGAGGTTCAAGGCGTGCAGGGCGTATGGATTCCAGGGTTGAGGGTTGTTCTAGGAGTGATGCCCTAAATCCTAAATCCTAAACCCTAAACCCTGTGCCCTAAACCCTATACCCTAGACCCTAAACTTTAACCCTAACCGGTTTGGGGTTTATGGTTCGGGGTTGAGGGTTTAGGTTTGGATTAGAAGCAGGTTCTGGGGTCTTCTTTGAGTGGCTTTTGAGTGGCTGCTTCGGGTCGTTCTTTCGCTTGTTGCCTGGCTTGCCCCTCTGTTTCTCTACAACAGACAAGGTGTCCCTCAGAAGTCTGAGCCGGGCTAAGAAGGCTAGAGTTTAAGGCCTTGACATCAAGGTGAATATCAATAGGGTTTAGGGTTTAGGGTATACTCCATTTTATCTTGGGGTGTTCTGACGACGAGAACACTGATAAGGAACCTGTATCATAGCCCTGGACGCTGAAGCTTCACATGGACGCTGGCTTTCCAAGGGCTTGCGTGAGGCTCTGACTGCCAAGCCTTTTCTACTTAAAAGTCCTCATCTAATGTCAAAAGCCGAACCTTAAGCCCCAAAGCCCGAACCCCCCCGCCCACCACCACGCCAAAAACATCAAATTCAGGGTTTCGGGCTTAGCTTGGGTCTAGGTCCTAAACCCTAAACCCTAAACCTTAAACCCTAAACCCTAAACCCTAAACCCTAAACCTTAAACCCTAAACCCTAAACCCTAAACCCAGATTCTAAATGCAGCAACCAGGCTGAGGCCTACTTTCATTTCCGGCTGGTCTTCAGGATCTAGGCCGGAAGCCCTACACCCCGGAAACCCCAAAGAAAGGATCTCCAAGGGAAGCCTTACTATAGGGGCCTTTATAGTTAGAATAGGGTTTGGGGTATATTACACTATATTTATAATAAGGGTTTGGGGTATATTATATTGTATTTATAATGAGGGTTTGGGGTAAATGATACTATGTTTATAATAAGCAACCCCCCAAAAAAGCTATCCTAATTCTCAAGGCCCCTACATGACTCAAGGAACAAGGAAGCTGGAGCACTTGTAGGCCCGGGGGACTTAGTAAGTAGGT